ATGTTATGAGTTTTATTTTTACAAATCGTCTGTTTTGGCGTCGGGAACAAATCACCTCGTATATTTTCTACATTATAACTCGTACTTGCTCTTGTGGTTACTCGAATTGCATTTCTTGAATGCAGAATAATTTGCGAACGTATAAATCACCGATTTCAAACTTTTTGCATTTCGTAAATATTAATAGTGACCAATCTGTTCGTATTTCAAAAAATTGTAACATGTTTCAATTAAATTAAAAAGAGAATAGTAAATAACTTAGTGTGTATTGCATTTCATAACATAAATGCTAGAAAGATGTATGTAAATGACATGCAAATTAATATGCAAATTTATGCTAATTAGGCCGCCCACCAGCTATTTTGGATTGTGGAGAACACTGCTATAAAAAGTTTGAGGCCAAGTGTGTGCATATTTACTCTACTTTTAATTCAAATGAAACGTTAAAGATTTTACCAAAAAATAGATGATCGCTGTTCTGAAGTTAGGACTACTTACCCAGGACACTATAAACTGTCTGGCAAATGAATTTGTTGTGTAAATCCTTTCTCTCAGTAGTGGAATGAATGCAACCAAATCAAAAGACAATGATTCTGTTACTATATCCTATAAATAAATGAAAATATATTAGTATATATTATTGAAAACATTCCAAATAAATTAAATAAGCAAATTGATTTGAAATAGAATCTTGCATTCAAACCAACCTGGAATGAGTGTCACATTAGGTCAAATAATATTCTCGCATGAATATGCCTCCGCATCAACTTCAAAGGTTTGCCAAGTTAAAAAACAGCGTTGATCAATCGTAAGCTTTTTGTTGGTGACATTTCATCAGAAATAAATAAAAAGTAATATGTCTTGCATAAAAAATGTGGAATTAGAGAACCAACAAGAAATCTTGATCAGAAGCCAATTCAGAAATGATCAACATTAAAAATAGATAGAAAACCTGCAAAAATGCACATATCTGTCAAATGCATGATGGCGGCGATGACAGGAGTTTTGGGGGCGAGGGATTTGGATTCACGTATTACCTTCATCAATCTATCTAGCAATTCAGAACCATTCTTGACATTCAGATCAGGATCAGCCGCCAACTAGAACAACAAATGAAGAATTCATCATTATTATTGTTGTTCTACTTCAAAGCTTCAAACCCTTACCATTTCAGGTGAAATGCATTACTGTACCTGCTGAAACATCACACCACTTTGGAGATAGATCATAAGAAATTTTGGGTGGGAAAGGGTGCTTGGAAGTTAGGGGTATTTTTTTCCTTCATTACCATGACGAGTACTAATTCAAATATATTTTCTGTACAGTTACTATGAATATGTTACCTTACTGAGACCATCAAATACTTCATTGAAGAACGGTAACACACATCCTCTGGCAACTTTGACAATATTATACAGGGCTTCACATGCATAGTATCGCACACGACTGTCCGGATCTAAGAAACATGCCAATACTGGACGTATCAGTTCAGCCAAATAATTACAGGACTCCTATAAAAGATTATAAAAAAAATATTCTACAAATAACAGAAATTCAAATTTGAGACAGCAGTCAGAACTAGTGCATTGTATACATGTACAGTTTTGGTTTTACCTAGCCATACATCCCATCAAGTGTTAATAAGATAAGGGTATGCAACATATATATATGTATGAATGAATCACTACACTAAAAGAGTGATCTTAAAAACCATCTTACTATAGTTGTAAATAAGCGTAAGAATATCAGTTGCCCAATATGCCTATACAGTCACATATGATTTTATTTTTTCTTGAAGACCTCTCTCTCCAGCAATCAACAAAGTGACTCAATTTAATGTTTTAGAATGAAATTTCGACTCAGGATCCCTACAAAGTCAACTGCACACTGGTCTCATATGGCACTTTACTCAGATAACAAATGAGATCTGTTAAAATAAAAATAGCCTGCACTAGTAATGCTCAGTAATCATACTGTAATTCACTTGATTGTGATTTTCCCCAACTTGCAATGATTTGACACGTGCGAAATACTGTTCACAGTATTCATTCAAAATTAATCAATAATATTTGACTACTACATACCTTCCCTAATGCAATAGCGCTGGCTGCCAGACCAATCAGACCACCTTTCCGGCCATTAGGATTATGTGACATGGCAAATTCATTGGTTAAAACAGAAATCAATTTTTTAATCTGTTCTGTGTTGTTTGATGCTACATATTCCTTGACCATTCTGTTGATGAAAAACAAAATGCAGATCAGAAAAGCCATGCATGGCACAGTCCCAGTTAGTTATCAAATTTAAAACATAAAGCTTTGTTTATAGTAATATAGCTGGAATATAAACATGTCAGGAATATGATGATTGTTTAACATTTAAATGATTGACATTTGTATCTGATCGTCAAACGAGTATTAAGAGACATTGCTCTGGAACAGCATTAATTAAAACAAAATCAGCCATTATGAATATATGTAAAATGAATATATGAAATTTAAACATAGTCAGTCAAAGCATGTCAGAGATATGGCTCTAAAAGCCCATTCATTAAAACAAAATGGCCACGAGTCAGCCATTCAGAATCTGATCTAAAAAATAAAACAAATTTTTTAGCACAAAAATAGCCACCATTAGGCCACTTTGAAAAGGATCGTCAAACCAATATATCCGTATATCTGTGACATGATGTATAATGAATATTAAAAATTTGAACATAATCAGTCAAAACAAGTCAGACATGTGGGGTCTGGAAACCCATTCATTAAAATAAAATGGCCACCGGACAGCCATTTTGAGTCTGATCTGAAAAATAAAATGATGTGCA